CTGTGTGGATCGGTTTACACTTTTGCGCTACTGGTAAATCGCAGTTCTGCTCATTATAGAAACTAAAGTTGAGTAAATATGAAAGAAAGAATCCATGCGTTAGGCAAGGGAATGCTACCAATCCAGGGGCTATAATGTAGGACATTCCATTTGAAGTAAGTGAAAGTTGCAGTTTTCGATGTAGAAGTACTAAACGGTAACATCCCGCTAAGGCCGAATAGTTTGCGAATCGAGCGACTGCAGGGACGAGAGACTCGACACTGTTTGAAAGTGGCGGGATCCAACGTTTAAAGGAAGCCCGCCATTTTCAAACAGTGTGGTCCTTGAAGTGGACTTCCTTCAAACGTTGGGTCCCGCCACTTTCAACAGTGTCGAGTCGCTGGCGCAACGCTCGGATCCAGCGATTCGCTAGCAAATCGCTCGCGCAAACTATGACATCGCCCTAAGAGGGTAGAGAGGAATGGTCTGGGGCGCGTTTGTGCATGTTCCGCAAAGAAAAAGTGATTTCTCGTCAAGTTTAAATTTTGACCGTGAACCTATAGTGCTCATGTCCTGCCTTTATACCTGCTGAATTATTCTAAAAGTCAGCAAAATTGAATTCTACTAGAAAACCCTGAGGATTCCATTGAGTTCTTACTACTTGGAGCAAAGTCAGGGTCAATATCGCTTTGGACATTTTTTTCGGAATTCTCGAGTCCAGAACGCCCACTTTTCCCCCTCCCTAGAACTAAAGTTCCCGTAACGACTTCACGTGGTTGCACCGATGCAGAAAACGGAAACTCATGATTAAGGTTTTCTCACGGTACTGTATGGAATGATAAAGAAAGTTGCAATGATGTGCACTTTGATGGTCATAAAGCTTTCAGGAATCGTTTCGCGAGAACGGTGGGAAGAGTTGAACGACCCAAATCACCAGGTGCTTGAAAATTACCGTAACCACAATATTTTGGACATATAAACTTTTTGGGTCCTGTGATTTTCATGTATTCCAATGACCACAATCTTTGTCACAACTGCAAATCACTGGGTGGCATAGGGAACGAGGTATATGAGACTTCCACAAAGTAATAAAACTGTCTTGTCACGTTCGTTACGCCGACAAAAAACGTCCCGTAGGGCAATTTTGCGGAGTTAATGGGCAAGTTTTTCGCGAAGAGTTGTCAGCTTTGGAATGCTACTGAAATTTTTGAAAATGTTTTCATGCAGGCTGGTGAAAGGCGTGAATCTACAAGACTAGAGCCCTTTGACATTGCTGCAGCTGCCCTGAAAAATTCCGTAGTCTAAAAAATCGTCTCGGTGTGTGATTGAGCCTTGAAACAGCTGTTCCTCCTCATATGTAGTTGTCCTTCTCTCCATCCAAAATTGGTCAGAGGTTTCGGAAAGAAAATTGCCCCAGAAAAGATACCAGCCGCAATAGAATGGCTCTTCGAGGAAACTGGTTCTGTTGAAGGATGCGCCATACACTCTACATCCCTCAGAATAATCAGATGGGTTACCTTAACTCTGAAGGGTTATTTCTTTGCGACCACATCCCTGGGATACGCTGTTCCCGGTGAGGCGAAAAATACCCTCACTGTGTGGTTCAGTGTTTTGTCAGGTTTCCTCACAAATGCTGGCTTCTACAGCGCGTGTCCCGCTATAGATAAAAATATGGCTGCGCTTTTCGTGACCAACTCCTGTGCTTATGAGCCGTCCCTCAGTGGGCCAAATACAACTCTGCGGTGATTAGCTGACCCTGCTTCCCTCCGTCTTCTGTTGTATTTTACCAGGTTTTGAACAAAACTTCATTTCTAAAAGCCGCAAGCGTCTGGTTAAGGTAAGCACCACCCATGACATCTGAGTTTGGGCTTTTCTGCAGGAAGTTTTCTCACCATTGAGTGCGATCAGAGCGCTCAGCTCCTATTTTTCAAAGCGCTTTTTCGCAAGTCCTAGAGCGCGGGTAACCTCTTACGTAAAGGCTTCGTGAATCGAATTATTGAATTTAGAAAAAAAACGAAAACAATTTCAAAACAATTTTGTTGTTTTTTCCTTAACACGTTGACGACACGCCCTTGTGCGCGAACCTACCCACCTTACTTTACAAATTTGCATTAACAGTTACTACATTACCAATAATTTCATTAGTGGTAACGAGAGAACTATTTTTCGTATCCAACAGTAGGAAGGGCCAGTCTTGAAGCATGAAAATGGAGGCACAATTTAGGAAAAACAAGTCTCTTCCGTGTGAAAGTGCGGGACGTATGTGTCCCGCGCTGTCGTCAAAGTGTTAACCTATTTGCACGCGAATGTTGTCGCAGCTAGATGGCAAGAGTTCCGGTTGGGCCGCGCTTATCCTATCGCTTTCCATCTTAACAATAAAGCAAATAAATCAAAGAAAATTACAATAACAATAAAAATAAATCCTGTTCCATAGAACGAAGCGATGGGCTGATTGTAACCTCTATTTTGTCTTTTTAATTACTAAATTTTCATATGTCTTCATATTGATCCTTATTACCATCTTCACCTTGAATTTGCACAAAAAATCAATGTATCAATCTGGTATCAAAGTTTATGGCTTGCTTTGGCTCTCAAGGTCTTGCTTACCGTTCATCTACCATTCTATTGGGTAGAGAAAACGCGCTCAGTTCTAGTGCTATTTTTAGCGCGTTAGATACACCCGAAAGACTGCGCAATGCATAGCCCTCTATATAGAAGAGCCGAATGGTTGTTTTCAAGCATTGAAGGGCTCCTTGTTGACATTTTTCTCAGAATAGCGCAAATCTCAAGTTCAGAATCTTACAATGATGTCAGATCTTACCTTATTGTTTCCTGCTTATTATAGGCTATATATGCTGCTGCCAATTCCAGACAGAACACTATGACGAGAATGATGAAAAACTAAATAAGAATATTATAGTATTAGAATTACAAAGATTACATTGTAAAAAAAGTTTCTTTATGAAATATATTTTAAATAAATGGAAAGTATTCTTTGCGCTTTGCAGCAAAAATCAAAGGATCTCGGATGAGCAGCTGTTAAACTCATTCGAGCCCTCAGGCTAACACTTTCCCCATATCCCATTGCTCAGCGCCACCTGTCCACGCGGATCATGGATGTCAATTTATTGATTCGAAAATGTGTTAGATATTTCCGATTATGACAGATAATATGCCACAAACACTCGAAAAGGTGACAATTCAGAATTTCGTCGATTTAGGACTGGTTCTAGAGGGTAAGAAGTAGTACGTACTATGCAGCACAACTCTCATAATTCTTTCATGACGTGGTCGTGTTACCATGGATTAATACTTGAGCGTTTCATGAATCATAAACAAGGATTAATTAGTTACTTGAGATGTGGGCGGCAGCTGCGGGCCTCAAAATGTTGGAAATCGCCCTTAGTGGCTAATTTTTTGCCTGTTTTTGTTTATTTGAATAAAACACACTCACTCCAAGTAGAGCGCATTGGTTCATTTTCCATGCTCCGCAGCAACCACAACAGCCGACGAATGTTATGATAGCTCCAGCTGCCAACAACAACCATCCAACAATCCGAAATGACCCTACAAAGCAGTTCTTTACTTGCAGAGAATGGATTGAAGAAGGGAAAGATGAACCATGGTGAGCCGAATGCAGAGCGAAAAACTCTGACGCAACAGGATCCCAGAGTAGCCAAAGTCCGAGGCCAATTGTGACGATACCGGCGATCTGAATCAAAAACATGTGGTTTACCCTGTGGGATAACAAATGTCGCCACCAGCCGGCCCGTTGTCTGTATGGGTTGTTTATTCGCGGTCATTCGTTGCGACGTGCTTATTGCAGTGAAACATTTCTCTTCGCAGACGTGCTACATATCGCTCAAAAAAACATGTACACTATGTAAATGCAAGGTTGAGCACGATAAAATTTCTCAGAAACAGCAGGTTTGAATGTTCTTGTGGAAACATCTCCCCTTTTTTCCGTTGGTACATCGATGCACGAACAGCAAATGGCCTCTTATTCGCGTAATGTGATTTGATGATGGTATAAAATCAAGCGTCATATTTAGCTGTGGAACCAGTGATGAGCTGAAATCGGGGCTGTCAAACCCTCGAAGGAATAGTTTCCCCCATGCTGCACTTCCCTTATGTGATCGTTTTTATTGGGGATAGCATTTCAATAGCTGTCCTTTTGCAGAGGGACAACTATTTGAGCACAATTCACCGAATCTCCCCCCCCCCCCCCGATAAATGGTTTGAACTCCATGTTGCTAATGGGTAATGCCTGTGAAGGTTCATTTCACACAGCTCTCTACCAAAATAAGACGAAAAAAATCGAGCTTTGCGAACTAAAACGTCTAAACTTCTTACGTAACCATTGCCGAAAATAGAATTAGACACAATTTTTAATAGAAACCAGGTAGGTGGCTGGTAATAGACAGTGGCGAGCTGATAATGATCGTCAAGAACCCACCCAGAAGAGCAGATTGAATATGAAAACAAGTGAGCGCAACGTTTTCACACAGCCGCCCATGCTTCGACTGAGTTGGGCGGAGCTTGAGTTAAGCCAGAGTCTATGCCGTTGAGGTCTGCCGCGTCGAGACATCTGCTGCAGGACTATGTCAAGCGATTATTTAGTAGAGATCAATCCCACAAACATCATCTTAGACGGTTAGGTATGAGCGAGACGAGAATAAACTTCAGTAGAACAGGTTCTATGGCAAAATTCATGCTGAAAGCATAAATAGCACCGCATTTACACTTCTGGTTGACTTGCTTATACTGTTGTGATAGTGATATTCATATTTCCTTACTAACGTTGATTCACACAAAGTATAGAATAATATAACGATCCATGTTGATCACGGAATAAGTTCGAAAGAGAAAATGATAAAAGTATAAAGTATTCGATGTTGATCAATCCCGTTTTGGGATGCGCCACGCGTTTTACTTCAATTCAAAATCGTGGCAATTTAAATGCACTTTGGTCTATGGGTTAGGGGGGTGGGGTGCAGCCGATGTAGACGTATGTATTGGATTGGAGCATAATATCGTAGCGTTTTTCTTTTCGAGCTACGAATTCAGTGAATACAAGTATTACCCAGGAAATCACATATATCATTTGAAAGTACTTCTTCTGCTCTACAATACCTGTTTGGCATTTTCTTCTATACTGTAAGTGTACTCAGATATGGCGCTTAGAAGTTGGAGAATCAAGGTGGGCGAAAATCTATATAGAGAAAAAAGCTGCCAAAATAGGAGTTTTCGGAAACCATCGCCATCATTGAATCTTACTGAAGATTCTGAAAAGGAGCTCACTACCCTTTTTTGATTTCTAAACCCGGTAATTTCTTGCGAAATGGAACCAAAGTCGTAAATAATGACGAGAAGAACTGATCAGTTTTATGCTTGGCTTTGCTTTTGGGTTTTGCTTTAAACGTTTTTGCCGAATGCGAGCGCTACGATATTATGCTCCGACCCAATATTTTTTATCCTCCCAGACAAGTCTGGTACCAATTAACCGACCCCGGAGGGATGGAAGGCTTGGTTGGCCCGGGCGACTCACGACCCAGGATTTGATCCCCGGACCGCTCGCGTGGTAAGCGCGCCACTTGCCTTACACCACTTTCGCCCTTCGGAAGATTCCACTTCTTGAAAGCCGAAACTACACTGGAACTTTTACTGAAAGTGCTACCGAAAATCCTCCATATTTAGATGCTGTGTTTCCGTTCGCGAATGATCTGAGGTGTTACCCAACCAAGAGCTTGAAATAAAATAAAAAAAAACAGGAAATTTGAGAAGTAGCTAAAAGTGCGAAAATTTTCTTCCCAATCACTAGGGCAAAGATGTGAGCATTTGAAAAAATCCCAATTGGACATGGTCCGCACATCAAAAGGAGAGATTTCAGGAGAATTGGGATTTTAGGAGAATGTACTAAAAAAAGGTCCTTGAACTGAAACTGCTTCTTAGATAGTACGGTTGATGTAATCTGGCGTTAGTTCAGATCAGTGGGAGAGGTTGCAGAACGATGACCGATGAGCCAGATGTTGTTGTATTTGACACGTACTAAAGGATGCGATTTTTGTACACGCCCCCACCGAATACACTAATGGGGTTTCAATTTTCCTATTGCTCATTTTCAACAAAAAATGCAATTTAGGGCGCGAGACATTTATTGCGCATGACCTCAAGCGACCATTCGAAGTGCAACCTTTTTCTTTTGTGATGTCATCAGCAGCGGGTGTCTGTGATTATGGAAGGGAATCCGAAAGAAAGTGAATAAATGTCATTCTAACTCGATTCTATGGGAAATGGGAACACCTAAGGTTCAAGGAAATGGTCCCATGGTAAACATAGTCCGACAAACTTGTCTCTCCAGGAAAACTATGCGAAAAAGAGGTTCTATTTAACTATGTTTTTATTTGAAAATTATGTTATGCTGTTGTTGTTGCTGCTGTCGTTGTTGAGTAAGCACTCGGCGGTGCGTTTGCACGGGGATCTTATGTTTTTTTTTCACTTGTAACATCCTATGCTAACTCGCCTTGTATTATTCGTTTATTGCACTGTGAATGATAATATTTATATTTTTTTCCTGAAATCTTTTAGGCCCCAATTAACCCACTCTGTACCATCCTGGGTCCTCGGTTGAGGTTGGCGGACCTACTAAGCTGGTATCCGGAGTCGCGATCCCTCCCCGCGGCTTGCAGTGTTTGGCCGGGGCACTGCCCTTCCTCTTCCTTTCGACCCATACCCCCATCCCCCCTCATTGCTTCTGTGTCATGTAATCATGACTCTTCTATTGTTAACTTGCTACTTTTCTATGTCCTCATTGTGATAATTACGGCACAATAGTTAAATAAATAAATAAATAAAAAAGCGATAGCGTTTATAGATTGGTTTTGGATGCGCCACGCAATCCAATTTCCATGTTTTTTCTTTTTTTTTTTCTTTGTCATTTCCAAATTTTCATTTGACCTAGCAATACTGTGGTTAGCGTATCGACAATCATCGGGCGCTGCTACTCGTAGGCAAGGTCAACCCTATCTGCTACAATAGCCAACGGGGCCTATTTTGATGAGTCTGTTAGAGGGGGTCGCTTGACTGCTTCGTAGTCAGAATTGCAATGTATGATGAAGCGGCGCGAGAGAAAATTCGTTTCAGCGCGCGTAATACCCCCGCTCATGCGCTCTACCGCGTAATTTTGGGTAAACAGTTTTTGAAGATGCTCGAAAAACCTTGTTAAAAAGTAGCAAACGATACGGCACCGACTGAACTAAGAGCTTTCGCACTCAGACCACCTCAGCCTAAACGAAGGCTTAGATAACGGCCCCAAATCTGAATTGACACCTTATCATCTACCAGATGTAGCGCTACTAGGTGTAGGATGTCGATGCAAGAATTTCCAAATAAGGTTTTCATTCTATTGCCCTAGTATTTTTTTACAACTCTCATAACTCACCCAATGGGAAAACGGCAGGAGAGGATATATGCAACCATAGAACAGTAAAGTTACCATTTCAAGTGTTTTATTGAAAAGAAAATAAAGAGAAAAAAGAAAGAAAAAAAGAAAAGAAAAGAAAAGAAAGTTTCCCACTCCTCAAAATTCTGTGCACATCAAACGGTTCCTACGCTAAACTAGTCAAGTAAAAATTAATGCGGGCATGTCCCCAGAAATTTTGTTTTTTTTTCCTATGGCTCCAAATAATCCAAATGGCAGATTCCCAGTTGCTCACTACACCCAATAGTACAATGACGCCCGAGCAAATCCTCTACAAAACGTCCACCTCACATGTTACCATAGTCCTCTAGCCGTGTACCACAAACGTCAGCCATATACGTCCGTTACCCAAAGCAGGTTTGACCAAACGAGAAACTACACGCACTCCTCGGCCAATACAACTTCCTCCGGTGAATCAACCAACCGCAAGGGTACGAGTCAGCATTTTGGGTTTAGCCTGTGAATTGAGGCCATGTATACTACAAAAACCAATCTAAACTTTCTTCAATCTCCACATCACCAGGCCAGCGCCATCACACTGGACACGAAGCAAGTATTCCCGACTAACTCTGATTCACAATCCGAAAAAAGACCCATAGAGAGAAATGCTACTAGAAACACGAAAGAAAGACGAACAAAGCGCCTGCTCAGCACAGTGGTGAAATCAATCAATCCTTTCACAAAGTTATCTTGCAACAAAGATTGCAAACACTGTTGCACCATTGGCTTGCCGTTCCAAGTTCCAACTTACAATCGCTTCGAGGACTCGCAAGACGAAAATTTGCCCGTTGTAAGACAGGATCAAGCCAGTAGGTCTCCCACATCTTTTCAAATAGAAATCGTTAAAAGTATCTGCAAAAAAAAGACAAACCGGTCAACTCTCAAACCAGAATGTTATCTCAGCCCCTCACATTGCTCACTAATCACTAAACGCAATTCTACCAGTTATCACAATCTCCCCTGTTTTGCCAGCACAGTCACTCCTTTGCGGATATAATACATATAGCAGAAATTCAAGCACTTTATTGACAAGTACGTAACACTGGGAGAAAACTCAGGAAAACACTGGCAGAGACCGAAGTGATTCATCATAGAAACGTCCATATCATTCCTCAGGACAAAACAAACTTGATTCAATCGTAACATTCTTTTTCTCCTTTCATTAGTACAAGGATTTTCACCGAAGTAGAGAATCATAAGACAGGAATTTTGTAAAGAAGACCCAAGTGGTTCTGCTCCATTACCAAACACAGCGAAGGCCGTCCACCTAAAATTATTGTGCTGCCTACGAAAACTAAATCGGAACATTATCGATGCAATCGT